TGAGTAGTGTTTTTTGGTTGTTAAACCTAGTAAGATTATATTCTTTATATAAAATACTATACCCCAAAAGGAGGATATAATCTTACTCTATATAGGGTACCATAGTATACATAGGAGTCGAGGGTTTAGGCTTGAGGGGTGGGAGTTCATTTAATTGGGAGCACCTAGGGAACGCCAAAAGTTTCTTGGGATTGTCTGGGGAATATGGGGGGGGATTCTATGGAGACTACATGGAGCAGCTCCCAAGAGACCCTGGCTATCCCTGAAGGTCAACACAGGAAGCGTGCGATGACCAGGGAACAGTGGCATCTGCTTGTATGCCTTGGACAGGTCCAAAGTCTTGCCTACCCAGGCTTGACGGTGAGAGAATTTGCAGCCTCCAGAGAGGCGGGTCGCAAGGTGCAATGCAATTGCCGTGATATAGTCGGAGTCTTGGAGCTCCAGGCGGATCGTGGAGGTGCAGCCTGCATTTACTTGGGCTTCCAGGCAGTCGTCCATCGGTCTGAGCTTGAAGTCCGCGCCCTGGACCGGAACAAACCGGCGTATGATCGCCCAGTCGTTGCAACCCAGGTACTGGGAGACAGCCTCACAAGAAGTGAACGGCCCTTCAATGAACCCCAGCTCCATCTCCTCTGAAGTCGCCTCCATGAGATGGTAGATGTGCTCGGCATTGCCCAGGTCCCTACGGCTAGAAGGGCATTCCTGCGAGCATCGGCAGTTTTAATAGTGAAGAAGTACAAAGGGTTGAGAAATGGAGGCCTGGTTCTACTACACCTTAAACTCTAACCCCCAAAGCGCGTTGAAACTACCCGTAAGCCATGAAGTAGTTAGATCTGATGTGCTTATCTGGCCTCACTGGTTCTGGTTCTGGGCCAGCTTTGGAAGAGAAGTTGCAATTTATGTAGGACTTCTCACGGAGGCGTTTGGGGGGGAGGCGAGGGGGTTGTTTTCAAGTTCTACAGGAGGGCGGTATTTACGAGTTCGAACTGCTTGTTTCAGGTCCTTACATGAGGTTTCAGGGGAAATGAGGGCGGGAAAAACAAAACAAGGAACTGACAACCGATTGCAAGCATTTCGTCAGGAAGGCTCGAAGTTCATCACGCCGGGCTCAATTCCAACGTCCAAAGGGTTCATGTTCCTATGTATTAATTTAGGGTTGAGGGCTTAGGGTAAGGGATTATCATATACTACCCAAAAAGGAACCGCATATGAAGGTCTCGTTGCGCCTTATAAGTCCTGAATGATGTTGAAAAGGGGCCAGGGATGCAGACCTTGATTTTCATATGTTATACCTCCTGAAAACTAAACCCCGAAACCCGAACCCTAACTCCTAAACCCCCTATACTATCCGATTATATGCCCCGATTTAAGGCCTCCCTTTGCAAAAAAAAGGGTTTGGCCAAGCCTCAAGCTTATGACAGGAAAGTTTCTGTCCGGCCCCCCCCCCACTGCTAGATATAGGGATTGTATGAGGGCTATATAGGGATATACAACATAGCTAGATACACAGCTAGACTCAGCTAGATATAGGGGTTATCTGGGGGCTATATAAGGATATATCAGGTTTAGAAAGGGGTTAGAAAGGGATGTCGAAGGTTGAAGGTTTAGGGTGTAGGGTTAAACGGTATTCCCGCGAAGAACTGGAACTATTTGGACAGTACGCTTTGCCCGGAGCGCCACTAGGTGTTTGAGGAGTCCATCTGGCGTTCAGGCTTAACGAAAGTAGTGGCCAAAATAACTGCTAACATCCTGGTTCTGGACTCTACATGCATTGTACTTATGTAGATTCTTTAGAAGGTACCTCAGATAGACTTTTTTCCGTTTGCTGCTCAATTTTTGGAGGAGAATATCCCCAATCCCTGTAACTCCTGCGAAGGGGAATAATATAATCATACGAGGATTGTAGGGGCCACTCTTGTCCAAAAAGCATAAAACTTAGGACGCTGAACCCCAGACCCTAAACCCTAAACCCTAGAAGCCTGAACCCCAAGTTGTGGAACCCTAGACGAAACCAATCAAAGACCTAAACTCGAACCTCCCGTGTTACCTGCCTCTTCTAGTGGGTTGCTGTTAAGGACTTGAAATCAAGTTACCATAATGAGTATACATAGTAATTAACATAATTTCCCGCAATATAGTAACTTTATTTGGGTTCCTTAAGCCCCTATATCCACTGTTTCTGTTTAATTTTCTATGTTCTTTTCCATTTGGTTCTCCATTATAGGGGGGATCCCTGAACCCTAAACCCACTATAGTAGCTTAATTAAGATCCGCAACCCCGTCTAAGTGTCTTAGGCTGCCCAGAAGAATAAACTGGAGTCGCCAAACCATCCTGAGTGTTCCACATACCTATATGTTTAGAAAAGTAAAGGTTGAGGGCTTAGTTAGGATTTAGGACTTAGGATTTGGGGTCTAGGGTTGAGGATTTAGGGTGTAGGATTTAGGGTCTAGGATTTAGGATGTAGGATTTAGGGCTTAGGATTTAGTGTTTGGAGTTGAGGACTTAGGGTTTGGGGCCCATGGGGTCCATGTAGCCATATGTCAGGTTTGGCCCCACCCACTACAAATAGTGACCTCAAGATATAGTGGCAGGTGTACTAATGCTCCTGATATGCCACTAGTACTGCGTGGGGCCCAACCTGAGCTGCTTGCCCCAAACCCTAAACCCTAAACCTTGTTATATGCTCGGGCTTCAGGGTAACCCTAAGCCTTGAACCCCAAACCTTAAACCCTAAACCCTAAACCCCTAGACCCTAAAACCAGTAAGTACCTGGGAACCCCAAGAAACCGGGACCGGGGCCTGGCCAGCCATAAACAGGTTTGCCACCTGCGAGGCTGCGCAACCGCAAGGAATAGAAATCATGATTTAGGGTTTAGGGTTTAGGCTTCATGATTTAGGGTTTCGGGTTTAGGAAGATAGAAATCAAACATAAGATGATGATAAGAATAGTGTTTTCAGTGTAGCGTAGGGCGCCTGTAGTATAAACAATTGCGAATACACGTGCGGAATCTATTTGAGGTACCCTATACTGTTATTCGACCGACATTCTATGAAAAAATCATGAATGTGGATACCCGTTTTGGCCTTCCTTTTGACTGTCACGATCTGCCTGACTCAGGCACCCAAAATGAATATTATATATCAGGGAATGTACGGGGGCAGCCGTATTTTGGGAAACCCCATTTTTCTCGGGAAAATTGAGGCGGGGAAACTATGGTCTGTAAACTCTGTGCATGTTGACGGGGGATAGTGCTTTTCGTGCACTAGACCCTAAACACTCTCCGCGTGAAATGGGCCAAATGTCTGCGGTTTGCACTACCCCGCAAATCTGAATTAGAATGGGGCTTTAGGGACAATATATTATTGAATTATTGTCGAGATATATACAGTGGAGGTCCCCGATGTAGACTCCCAAATGCTATAATACTTGTCTCGCATGGGTGCCCTCAAAACGGAAAACCCTTTGTATGGAAGCTCGTACAAGGTTTTAATCGGAAGAAAAAGCTTGTCAGCATCCAGGCTTCTACTATATGCACTCCAGCCACTGCAGACCAGAATTGCTGAAATAGCAGCACCTGTCTAAAAGGTATTCTTGAGGTTGATAGGCACTTCTACATCTAAACCCAAGCCATTCCAAAGGTGTAGCCTTTTTTACTGCTGTCTGCGTGGTCGATGACGTACTCCTGCCCGTTCTAGGGCAAAGTAGAACATCGCGGAGGCGATGCGTTCCGGACCCACCAAGAGTATTGTCCCCTGCCACCCTGGTTCATGATGATCTGCGGTAATACGTCAGGATCTTTGTACATAATTTCCGCTTCATAACACCATCCGTCGTATGACACAGCTGAGGTCCGGAAAGGGGACAGATTTCTCTTCAGGTCGTGGTGCACATCCAACGGCAACCCTGAGGGTTTTCTGTAATCCCCCTAGACCTATGATAAACATGCTACGTCCATAACTCCTTCGGGCTATACTATGACAAGCTTGAAACAAAGTACATCCCAAGGACACATTTTTATGAGGGACCTGAATCATTAGAATAGGGTTTCAAAGGAGATCGTACTATGGCTTTAAGAATAAAGGTATTGAATGGAGATGATTTTCGCTCCTCATGCATAGGCTACCGCACAAGATCTCTGGGGCTTTTAGTGATGGTTGCATCCTGGAGCTTGTTTGCACATTACATCTTGCCCTGAGGATCCAAATAGCCCAATGTAGGTAATACTTACAGACTGTAGGGCCCAATGTAGGTATTATTTGTATACTTGGATCTCTAGGGTTGTTGTTGCTGATTGTAACTCTAATGTCTTCAGACAGCTTGAAAGCGGCTCACAAGGTGCTGCACCCAAAAGGAGTGGACAATGTCAACAGCAGCCTCCCTTTTAGGCAACTTCTACAACTTCCATGCGCGCATTTGGCAACATCTACAACTTCCATGCGTGCACTGCATCGACTTGGTGAGAAACCCTCTCTATCGTCAGAATCTGCTGCCATTATCCTAGGCTCAACTGCGGCCGCCTCTTCCTTCTTGGCTGACTGCCTAGGGTTTAGGGTTTAGGATTTAGGATTTAGGGCTTAGCAGCATGCCCTACATAGAGACACCTCTAAGTTACCAAATGCCTAATAGTCATATACCTTTCCGACGCTGTACTGCAATTCCTACTGCGCATTTCCAAGTACGCGAGTATGGAGCTCTTGGCCCCATACAATCCTAATGAATATGATGCCAAAACCAGCTCGTGCGGGTATTGTAATCGTCTTGAAGCCACTTGTGCGAGCCATGCGTGTAACTAGATCAGCTTTCTGTAGGGGGAAATGGTATTGCAGGGCAGTTCGTTTTATAGACGCGGAATTCCACTAGATTTGGTCGTGTGCCAGAGTTCTAGCAATTGCCACTTTGCTCTCATTCAGGAATGGACATGTTCTAGCAGTCCCCAAAAGAATTGATATCTGTGCCCATGAAGCTTGACGCGTTTCAGATGCTCAGACTCTAATGTAACTCTTCTGGACAGGTTCTGTATGCGCGTACCCGCTTATCTACATGGACACATTTCGCTAAGCGATTCACCTTAAAACCCTGAGCCCTAAAACAAATCTTCTTATCCAGGATAGAAGCCAGGATCCTCTGGAAAGATCGACCTAAAACTGCGGTCATAAACAAGTTCAGATGGTTGCCCAAGATCTTCGAAAACCCTGCAAAACCCTCTAATCCCTGAATCACTACTATCGACCTCTAGCCCCTTGTTGAACTTCAGCTCCAATTCCGGGAGAAGAGGCGTTCGTGGACCAAAGAATGGAAGCTGCAGAGACTATGCTGCTTACCCAAAGGGTCCTTGTTTATATAAGGGATTCTATTATGATTCCCTAGTATAGAAACCCTACAGTATACCCTATTGAAATCTACTATATGGTAATTAGGATCCTTTGGGTTACTGCTGCAGCGGCGATAGAATCCTGCACGCTGGATATGTAGAATCCTTGTGGAGTCCTTCCATGAACCTGTGACAACCTTGGGGCTTAGGGTTTAGGGGCTTAGGGTTTAGGGGTGCGGGCTTCCTTAACGATAACTGCGCAAGTAATTAGGTATCATACGCGGCCGGTTTCAGGTTTTTAGTGCTTGATGCTGTGGGTGGCAATACGAGCGGAAGGAGTAGGAGCAGAAGGAAAGAAGCTTGGCTATAAAACTCTTGGACACAGGTTTGCCTAGTGGGTCACATCAAGGACAGGCCAGAAGAACTGCTTGGGGCCGCGTCAGGGACATGCGGTAGATTCTTGAACCGGCTATTATACTAGCTCGTTGTAATCCTAAGTATGGTATAACTCTCTTCCATTGATTCATGTCTCTACATGATATCCGTGTGGACCCCTATATACTGAAACCTTGAGGCCGGAATGCACACCCTAGCACAGCTAGAGCCCATGATCTCAAAAATGCCGGCAGGATTCTCGTGGTGCCGCTAGGGCGAGTGTTCAAGGGACACGCGGTTGTAGACTCAACAGATAGGAGCTTTGAGAAGCCCCAAAATGGTAGAGAGCAACTTCAACCTAGATGCGTGTAAGTGGCCTTGTTGACTCTTTTTGTGGGTTTTGGGCGATGATTTTCCCTTCTTGGGATCCATGTCGAGACCTCAACTCAGAAGTCGTCCTGATCCTACTAATCGTTTACAGGTCAGCCAGGCTCTTGTGATACATTTCAGCAATGTTTAGCAGAAGTATTCTCACACCTACCATACCTTGGTATGTTCCCCTTGAAAATGTCCCCCCTTTGCTGCCGTTCGGCACTGCGCATCTTTGCTGCGGCGGCTCTTCCTTTGGAAGTACCCACCACTGGCAAACAGCCACTGCCGCTCACAAAATCACACCTGGCTTGCTCCAAACTCTGCATCCTAAACCCAAACCACCACGAATCCCAAACCCCGAAACCGTGAACCTGAACCCAAATTAAACGCTGAACTCGCAACCCTGAACGCTGTCCCTTGGAAGCTCCCACGGGGGTAGCATAGTGAACTCGGAGCCTCGGGCACTGAAACCGCCAACCCAAAGAGCTTACATATGTCCAAAAGCGTCGCAAAACAAAAAGGACATCCAAACAAGGACACAACTCTGTGATGTAAGTCTTTGTCCACTTCTCCAAGTATCTGACATCCATGTTCAAGTCCCCGACGACTTTAGCAAGTTGTCGCAACTGGATTTTAAAGCCCTCGCCGCACTGAAGAGATAATGCAGTCTCCTAAAATTAGGGGTGCAATTTGGGCATCCCCATAATAAGGATCATAGTATGCTCTATATTGGGGTCCCCATGTGTATGATAACTGCCGTATGAGCTACAGTCAATATCTCCCATACAATCCATGGACATTGCTTCCTATTACGAAATATATCAGGGCCTATACTAAACTACCAATGGGACAGCTACGTCCAACGTTGATGGTCCGTTGGTAAGCCAAATATTTACAGTAGCTCGTATGAGGACTGCCCCAAGAACATCTTAATTAGCGAACACTGCAGTCATGCCTTTGAACGCCAAAAATGGGGTTGAAGGCTTCGAATTCGTGGTTCAGGGTGTAGGGCTCAGGGTTTAGGGTTCAGGGTTTGGGGCTGTGTTTAGGGTCTGGGGCTCTGCATGTCTCCAGTATATCTACTTAAGGACGACTATGGGCCCTAGAGCAAACAGTCAGGGTGCAAGTACACAATAATCGTATACTCCCCCAGAACTTACTCTAAAATTAAAAACACCAAAATGTCAATTGAGTAATGGTCGGGTGCATGGACCCGTAGGGAGGGACTGAGGGGGATAGAACCGAACCAAAATCCTCAGACCACATTACCCTAGAAGACAAAAGGATCCTTTTTTTCATAAATATGAATAAGGAATCCCATACCCCAAAAAGGAGATAGAGATCCCCAACATCGATCAAGAATCCCTAGACCGTATGCCCAGTAGTTCAGGGCCTAGGGTGCAGAATTCAATTGGCCTGGGCCTGATTCAACACCCATACCCGAAACTCTGAGAACCCTAATGCAGGAGCCAAAGAATGACCAATATCATGTTGAGATCTAATCGAAGTACCCTACACGATGCTTACATGCGAAACCTAGGACGACTATTGTGGTGTTAATTGTTTTTGACACTGCAGTACTCAAAACACCTAAAACCCTAGAACCACACCCTAAAAGAGCTTGGAGTTTGCCCCCTTGAGGTTTGTACGCCGCGGGTCGTGGGTCCCAAATACTTTGGTTAAGGGCTAGATTCCATGATTTTGGCATCCAAGCTCAAGGTTACAAACCTTAAGATCACACGGAACAACTCTCTGAAATGAGGCGAG